TTTCGTTTTAATCGGTCAAGTAGTCTTTGTGTTTATCCCGGACAAAATATTGCGGACAGACATACATACACACATATATACATACATACATAATTTTTTTATTGGCATTTTTGGAATTCTTACTACTCGAATAGAAAAACTAAATATGAATTTTCAATTTCTATGCAATGTACAGACAAAAGTCTGATCTTATTTATAAAGATTTTGGGTCATGTCACATTTTGCGAAAGCACTAGACGTCATCCAAGAGGAAAATCTATCGTATTTTTTAATTTTATTGACAACAATTGCTACTTACAGGGATCACAGAGTGTTACCTATTTACCTTTTTGTACCTATTTTGAAATTTGGTACCTTTTGTACCTATTTTGATTATTTGTTACCTTTTTTACCTATTTTAAGTTATCACAGTAAGTTTTAAAAATTATTTTTTATTTCATAATTATTTTTCTGCGTTTGAATATCTTTTTTCTTACATAAAATTAACCCTTATTTAATAAGCATTAAAATAAAGCATTAATTAATCGGTTGGACGTGTGGTCACTTTTTCCCCCGTTGGACGATGTAATTTTACATTTTTTGCCAAAAATTCAGAATCAATGCAAAATGCTTTAAAAGAAGCAGTAAAAAATCATGCCAAAGAGATCGTCATCAAAGAAATACAGGGTTGCCACAGACCTGGAAAACCTTGAATTGTCAGGGAATTTTATAAATTCTCATTCTGAAAATTCAATTTTTTCTATTTGAATATTCAAAATCTCAAGTTTTAAGTTGTTATTGTACAATATCTTTTTGATTTTAAATTTAGTGCTTACAGTTAAAATCTAAATCGTTTCTAAAGTTTAGTTTCTTCTGGTCAATATTTTCCTTTGCATAATTTTAAAATTAATATTTTTCAATGCATTTTAGATACAGGGAAAAGCGGGAAATGCGGGAATTGTACGGGAATTTTTTTTGTACGGGAAATGTGCGGGAAATGTACGGGAATTATTTTGTTCAACGGGATTTTTTACTTAAAATGGTCGTAATAATGAAAAAATTTGGAAATGTGCAAGCACCTAAAAGTTTATAATTGAGGTTGAGTCCACAATATAATTGCTTGAAGTAGAATTTCAAAGTAAAAAAAGACTTAAAAAAATAATTTTGTTTGATATTTATTTAAAATAATTTTATATTTCGTTGTTTGAATTTAAAAAATATGTACTGGGGTCACAAAGTTTCAGTACATTTGGACTGATTACATTTGAATGCTCACTTCACTTCAAATTCAAATATTTTAGTAAAAATGGGTGTAACAGATATCAAACCAATTTGAGATATAACAGATATAACCAATTTAATCATGTCAAAATTAAAATATAATTAATTAAAGTTAAATAAATAATATTTTTAAGCTTTGACAGTTGTACAATATGAAGTATAAATTCCATTTTTAATTCTAGACCAAAATCATTCACAAATATTAAGTATTTTTTTCAAATTCTGTAAAAATAACTTCTCTTGCTCTAAATTTTTCACAGTATATAAATTGCAAATTCGCCTTTTCCGTTCACTTGTTTTATCAATTAACCACATTTTTGAAAAACATTTATCTCTTATTTATTGTAAAACAAGAAGGATGTTACATAGAAATGAAATAAGTAACAATAACACAGTTAATATTTGTAACATTATAACAATTAATAATAAATAATTATCTTAAATTCCCTACAATCAAGAGGTTCTATATTTTTCAAAAGTGTGGTTAATTAATAAAACAAATGAATGAATAGAATCGACAAATTTGCAATTTATATTCTGCGAAAAATTTAGAGCAAGAAAATTTATTTTTATAGAATTTGAAGAAAATACTTAATATTTGTGAATAATTTTGGTCTAGAATTAAAGAATATAATTAATACTTCATATTGTACAACTGTCAAAGCTTAAAAATATTATTTATTTAACTTTAATTAATTATATTTTAATTTTGACATGATTAAATTGGTTATATCTGTTATATCTCAAATTGGTTTGATATCTGTTACACCCATTTTTACTAAAATATTTGAATTTGAAGTGAAGCGAGCATTCAAATGTAATCAGTCCAAATGTACTGAAACTTTGTGACCCCAGTATGTACTATAAAAATATTAATACTGATTAAATGTTATTTAAATAATAAAAAAATAAACATTTAAAATTCTATTACTTTTTCTTAATACTTTACCTTTTATATACAATATTGTATAAACCCTTATATTTTATGTACGGGAATTTTGTAAAAAATGTGGGAAATGTACGGGAATTTTATTTCATATTTTCAGCGGACACCCTGTAGAAACTCAAAATGTTATTAAAATGATTAAAATACTCGTTTAATTGTGAAAAATTCTGAACAAAACTAAATTTTTAAATTCTTATTATTTTTATCTATATTTTTTCGTTTACTTTAAACTATGTAAGTGTGATGCGCTCTGAAGAAAGATACTTTAGAAGCAAAAGATTGTAGGTTATGGTTGTAATTTTTTGAATGAAATTACACAAAGGGGATTAACTCTCAATATAAAAAACTGATATTAAAATCTTCATTACAACTAACATAATAAATTAAAATTAAATTTGGTTTTACAAAATTAAACAATAACTTTTAATTTTTTACTTTTAATTAAGTTAAAAATAACACAAACAACGATTTGCTTCTAAGGTTTTCATAGGACTTTTCTTTGGAGTGTGTCACAAATAATCTAGCAAAGTTTAATCTTAATTTCAATTATTCATAAAATTAAAAAATAATAACTTATGTTATTTATAATTTACTTGGAGATTTTTAAACTTTTTGTCGTAATTAGAAAAAAATTTATCAAAACGATTTCACTTTTGGGTCTGGAATTTTTAAAGAAATGATCTGGAAAACCTGGAAAAGTCATGGAATTTTAAAATCTATGTTTTGTGGCAACCCTGAAATAAATATATTTGGAGTAAATTTTGATTATATATATTTTACAAATTTATAAAATTTATAATTATATATTTAGATATTTGAAAAAAAATACTTTAAAATTTATAATTATATATTTAGATATTTGAAAAAAATACTTTAAAATTTATAATTATATATTTAGATATTTGAAAAAAATACTTTCTTTTAACAATAAAAATGTTAATAAACCTTAAATTACATGTTTATTCATGTTTTACAGTACTTTTATTGTTACCTATTTGTTACCTATTTTCGAAAAAAATTGTACCTTTTCACCTTTTTTCATGATAATAGGTACTGTGATCCCTGCTACTACTCTCTTTAAATTAAAAAAATTGAAAACCAAAAGACTTATTTATTGCAACGCATTAGTTACTGCACTTGAAGCCGGCCTTAATAAAAGATTTAGACTGTTTATGGAGGATGAAGAGTGTTTATTGGCTGCAGCCTTTTATCCAAAGTTCCGTTTGATATGATTAGACAAATATGACACTAGCAAAGTTTTAAAAGTTAAAAACACCATGGAGTTAAAAATTGAAGAAATGCTTATTAAAATTAAGCATGATTTAGATGACATGGGTTAACAGTGCCAAAGTGAAGATTTTTTTAAAATTGAGTCAGGTAAATGTATGGAACGTATTGTTTAGACCTTGGACAACAGTTTTTTTGTATTTTACATTTTTCTCAATTCGCGCTGTATGAAACTAACACCATCATATTTTCATCAATAGCTTGTAAGGCATGATGGCGTAATTATTGTAACGTACAGTGGCGGATCATTTTTTGCACGAGTTTCAATTGTCTTTGCATTTTTTGTGTACTAATGCCTCATGTGCTCCAACGCAACAATTCTCGAATATGTGACACTTGCGGTCTTCTCTTATTCTAGTTGCGTTAAAACAGTCACCAGCTACTTCACATGTCCAAATTGTAACCATAACCGAAGTGAAACTTTTTTTTCTATAATGTAAAATCATCAGTTTTTTTCTCTTTTTGTTATTTTTCATCATTTCTAATAGTTTCAATAAATGATTTTAACATCTACATAATGTTTTAGTTGAATACACCAAATCCGCCACCATACCTTACAACTTTCAAAAATAAAAAAAAATCAGTCTTTTGCGCCAAGAGCTGTAAAATTTCACTGCATTTAAATTTTAACTACCGCTTTTGACAGAAATATGCTTAATAGATGTAAGCAACTGCCTGCTTTTGAGATTTTAAAAAATATTGTTTTTTAAGAGAGAGAGACGCAAAGCAAAGTGTCCGCCACCATACCTTACACTCCTCTACGTAATGTTTATGGCACAAAACTTTAGGAAATAAAAACACTTTTTTTTAAAAACAACGTTGACAATGTTTTTTATTGTATAAGACATATTATTAATAATTACCTATAACAATAACACTATTTAATAAATTATCCAAATAAATAATTCTATAAAAATATGAATGTATGTGAAACCGATTAGTTATCAACATTGTTAAATTTTCTGATTCAGTACTTTGGAAGTAGATTTTTTATAACTATTTAGATAATTAAACTGTTTACTAACATTATTTTACAAATAGGGAAAACCAAAGAGGAAAGTAACAACGCTCATATCGTTTAATAAAATAAATGGATTGAAGTAGTTCTTCATTCTTAAGCAACAATGCCCCCTACAAATTTTTTGTAGTGTGTAAAACGTTGTTACTTTTAATATGTCTAATGGTAATGTAGAGCTGAAAAATATATAAAAAATACAAAACTTCATATTTTGTTCGATTTTCAGATTTATAACATGTGCTTTCGTTTTTTGTAGCTTAATTATTTGTCATTAGATCGTATTAATGTTTAATAAAGTACTTTGAAATACTTTTGTACAGTTTTAACTTTTTATTTACATGCTTTGATTTTTTTATTGACCAGCTTATATTTTGTTTGAAAACTTTAGACTAATATAAGATATTTTTATGTTTTCAAAGTTAAATTTTTTACTTTTATATACTAAGAACTATGAAAGCGAAAAAAATTAACAAATTGTCTAAATATTTATACTTTCCTTTTAGGTGCTGTAACATTCTTTTTGGAGGTGTGGAGAAAAGTAACAAATGCAGATGTCGCTAAGAGGATTTGCTGTTAACTGACTATTTAATTTTTAATTCAACTTATATTTAAGAGGTGAAGTTTTGAGCTTTCTATTAATATATCATTAATAGAATCTTATCTCGCTAACAGTTTTAACACTACCTTCAAAAAACTGATTTTTGTTACTTTCCTCCTCCATCTCTTCTGGACGTAAAAGTTTTAAAACAATTTGCTATGTTTGTTTAACTCTTTGAAAATTTACATTTTCTTTTTCACACAAACAACTTTTCATTCACTCATAAAAGCAAAAATTTACAGATCGCGATCATATCTTTTAAGCGTATCAGGAATATTCAAATTTGTTTTTTCTTTTTGTAAGTTTTTCTGTAGAAGTCAGTGAAAAGATAAATAAAAATGACGACGTTTGTTGCGAAAAAATACGTGAGAGCTTTTGGCATCGAGCAATCCAGGGCTAAAATGAACATCAAGTAACAAAGCATAATTCCAAATTGTACCTAGAAAAGATATTAATACATTAATTGTAATTAAAATTTGTTAATAAAAATAATTCAAAAGATGAATAGCATTTAATTGTAAATTTCGTACTTTTGTAATATGTGACCTGGTCTATAAAAAGGGTCCTTACGTGCAAAAATAATCAAAATTTTCTAAATAGCAACAATAAGTATAAATAAGTGACACATGTTTGTAAGGGTTTTCGAGGACGCTGATTACGAATATAATGTTAAAATGACAATTTGACAGTCGAAAGCTGTCAACTTCTCTAAAAAGTGATCGTGTTTTATAAAAAAGAGAGTAATAAGGTTTTTGAGGTCGCTGATTACGAATATGATATCAAATTTGAATTTTAACTGTTGACAGTTGTCAAAAAAACTGTCAAATTTTCTAAGTAATAAAAAATTATCGTCTTTGTTATTTTAATTTGCATAATAACAAAAAAATCAGTTTTTTCGTATTTTCACTCTTGTTTCTTTTGACTTTAAAAATTATTTTAAAAAACTTCTAATCAACTTATGACATTTTGGTTTTCACCATCTTAAAGAGCATTTCAAACTCTATCCGAGTCAACAAAAAAGTAAAAAATTAATTTGAATTTAATTCTCTTGGTAATACCTCGACGCCGCTTGTTCATAAAGTGCTAACTTAAACATCAATGCAAAACAACCTGACTGCAATTTTCGAAATTTTTAGTTCCAAAGCTTATGAAACTTGAAATAGTGTTTTAAATGTCCGTTTTTTCAATGTTGGGCGCAACCCTAACAGCATCCGAATATTCAGGATATCCGAAATCTATTAAATCAGGAAGATAATAATAATTATTATTATTATTTAATCAGGGATGTTCTGAGACATCTTAAGGACATCCTAGTGATATTTAAATTTCCGGATGTGACTAAGACGTCAGCAGGGTATCCTTGAGTATCCTTTGCTATTGGGAAATTTTTTTAGTTGGTTTCATCTTGATTTAATTACATCTTGATTTTTTCTTCACATAAGTTTATAATTTTTAGTACTCGCATTTTTTTAGAGTTAAAGTAACATAAGTAAACTCTTGATGATCCTATATATATATATTTACTCCCTAAATTACTTCTGTGCATGTTTGCTTCTCGTCCTACTACTTTGACATGATGTTCTGCTGAGTATACTATATCTCTCATGTAAAGGAATCTCTGGGGAGACAAGCTGTGACCTGATTTCGTTCTGATATGGTTTGCTTCTTCCCATACGACTTTGATTTAAAGTTGTTCTGAATATATTACAGCTCTCATGTGAAAGGGTTTCTAGGGCAACGACCTTTAACTTGATATTGAGTTTCTGTTTGCCTAATTTGACTTGATTAAATTTTAACCTAACATTACAACCTTTTAAATAGTCATTGTTGCTAATTGTCATTCGTTGGAAGCAACATTTTTACAATTTGTCACTTTTTCGTAATATCATTTTTACGAATTGCAGATTTAGAAATTTCACAATTTTTCAAATTTTCACATTTGCAAATTGTTATTTTTACGGACTGTTTTAAATAATTAGGTTTAATTTTAACAAATTTTAATTACCAGTTGAATCCATGTCATGTATTTTTTCCACCAGATATATTTTCTGTATTTAGGTCCAAGGGCAGCAATTAAATAATAACTGTACATAACTATATGAACGATTGAATTTAAAATCCCAATTACAATTCCTTGTTCACCAGGAAGTAGTTTTAGATAACACCATGAAAACAGTGCTGTTATGGTGTGATGATAAACATGTAAAAATGATACTTGATTATCTTTCTTTCTCAAAACAAAAAATACCTGTAAAATAAAAATATTAATCAATTTTAATATTATCAATCTAGCAAGTATTTAAGATTGTCAAATATTTGGAATAAATTTGGTTTATTATTTTTCTGAAGCATCCTTAAATTTGTTTATAAAATAACCCACACGGCAGCGAGAATTTCCTGAAAATTGACAGGACATAGTACAGCGAGGTTGAAAATATTAAGTGCCAAATCATGTTTCGAGAAATTCTCAGTGCTGTGTGTCAATAAATTTCAATGGAAATTTTAATGTTTATGCATTTCAAATCCATACACGGAAAGAAGTACCTGAAATTTTACTTGGAAATTCTTAAGTTTAGGATAAAACAGAATTTTCAATAAAGTACAATATCATATACTTTTTCTTATAAAACACAGTAATGTCAAGAAAATAATGAAAATATCTCATAATTATTCATGAATGAGCAAGAAATTTTTTAGTGCTGTCTCTTAAATACTATTTAAAATGTTAGAATTCTTAAAGAATTTTATGTCCTATCCAAAAGTCAAACACTGAGTCAATGAAAGTTCCACGTGCTTCTTTTTCCATGTATATCATTATTTATTGCAAAGATAAATTTTAAGAAGTGGCTATTTCGCCTGTCAGTGAAAAAACATGGTTAGAAAAGACTGGAAATAAAAAGAAACTATTTTATTTCGACAGTCGCTTTTTTATAATATATCAAACCCAAAAGCGACCCCACTTTACAAAAAAACCATCCCACTGCCCCACTGTGGGACTTTTTGCATTTTTTTGTCAAAATCCAATATCCCTCGATAAAGTGGACCAAAATGAGTGATTCTTGGACCAAAATAAAGATAAATACAAAATAAGAAAAAATTATGGAGAAGCTGTTTTCCACTTTTCCTGGTCTAGGAAACATTCGGGAAGTTAGCAATTAAAAAAAACGACAAATTGAAGTATACAGACCAAACAAATTTGTGAAACTACAAAACTCGTTAATGGTAAGCTTTTGAGATTGTCACATTAAAATATGAATTAATCTTTAACTTTCAAAATGGCGAATACAATATGAAGGACTAAAATCTCAAAAAAATCGATATTCACAAAACTTGTTTTTCAGATGTTTTTTGGGTCGTAGAATATAAATATGTGACCTGGTTTATGAAAAGGGACCTTACGTGTCAAAAAATCATTATTATTTAGAAAAGTTGACAGTTTCTTTGACAACTGCCAACAGTTAAAATTCAAATTTAATATCATATTCGTAATCAGCGACCTCAAAAACCTTATTACTGTCTTTTTTACAAAAAACGATCACTTTTTAGAGAAGTTGACAGCTGTCAACTGTCAAATTGTCAATTTAACATCATATTCTCAATCAGCGGCCTCGAAAACCCTTACAAACATGTGTCACTTATTTATACTTATTGTTATTAGTTAGAAAACTTAGATTATTTTTTCTATGTTTGGAGAGTTTGTTATTAATTTATATAAACAATTATTTAAAAAAATTTCATTACTTGTATGTTTGTTATTTAGATACTGTGATTCACGGTGAAGAAATTAATCCTAAATTGATTAAAAAATATTAATATTCAAAAAAGTTACAAGGGTTTTTCTAAGTTAAACTTTAACTGCTGTTTTCTCGAAAACTTGTTTTCGCACGTAAGGTCCCTTTTCACTGTCCAGGTCACATATAACATTCAAATTGAGAAATTCAACATGGCGGACTAAATTCCCAAAAAATACTTGATTTTTATACTGTTTTTAGGACACTTTGGAATTTTTTCTTACTTCAATTAGTTAATACTTACATTCACACTTTACAATTAATATAAATTCTAAGTTTAAAAAAATATCTAAAAAAGCAGTAATATACCAAGTTTGGGAGAAATCCAAACACTTTTTGAATGCTTATTTCATAATATTAAATCCACAATAATGAATTTCTCAATTTGAATGTTATATTTACATTCTACGACCCAACAAACATCTAAAAACTAAGTTTGGAAAAAACCGAATATTTTTTGGGAATTTAGTCCGTCATATTGGATCCGCCATGTTGAATTTCTCATTCTGAATGTTATATTTATATTCAACGACCCAAAAAACATCTGAAAACCAAGTTTTGTAAAAATCGATTATTTTTTGAGATTTTAGTCCGCCATATTGTATTCGCCATTTTTAAAGTTAAAGTTTAATTCATACAGTGGCGCTCAATAACTTTTGCTCACCCTACAGCGATTAAACACTTTACAAGAAGTTTTGTATTTTGTTTATTATTACACCTTTATTACACCTTTATTTTGACCCCTTTAAAATAAAATTATTAAACGAGGTAATATTTTTTTTCTCGCATAATTTTGAACCTGAAAACATATAAGATGGTCAAAAATATTTAATTTTAATTTTTGAAGAGGTTAGAATTTTTTTCTTTTGACCTATTGCATATTATTGCAAATCCATGCGAGAAGTTGTTTAGAATGGTAAAATATGCATTGAAAAAAATTTCGTTGAAAAATATTAAAAACTGTAAGAGAAGATCAATTTTTAATATTCAAATCTTTAACTTTTGACGAAATTTCGAAAGCCTTAAATCTTTAATTTTTTTCCAAACTGTGTAATTTGATGCAATTATTCAAAAAATATTGTTAAAATTGACATTTAGCTCATTTTTGTGGTAAAAACCTTAAAAATCATAGTCCGAAGCTTTTATGGTATACTTTATATATACTAAAATAAATGCAAAAAGCCATGATTTTTATAGTTTTTACCATGAAAGTGAGCTAATTGTCAATTTTAACTATGTTTTTCGACTCAGAGCATCAAATTGGAAAAAATTAAAGGTTCAGGACTTCCGACATTTCGGCAAAATTTAAAGATTTGAATATTAAAAATCGATCTTCTCTTACAGGTTTTAATATTTTTCAACGAAAATTTTTTCCCATACATATTTTACCATTCTAAACAACTTCTCGCATGGATTTGCAATAATAGGCAATAATTCAAAAGAAAAAATTCTAACCTCTTCAAAAATTAAAATAAATACTTTTGACCATCTTATATGTTTTCAGGTTAAAAATTATGCAAGAAAAAAAATATTACCTCGTTTAATAATTTTATTTTAAAGGGGTCAAAATAAAGGTGGGGTCTCCCCTTAACCCTTGGCAGTCGATGACGTGTATACACGTCATGGTGCAGGTGGGCTCAAACTGTCGATGACGTGTATGGACGCAAGCAGATTTTTGGCTACAAAAACACACAGTCCACAAATTTATACTCGCGGGTTTTCGGGGTCGCTGATTACGAATCCGTTTTCAGATTTTAAAAATTCAAAATGGCGGATCTAATATGGCAGACGACATTTTCAAAAATTCATCGGATTCACTTGAAACTTGTTACTCAGGGGTTTTCGGAGTCGCTGATTACGAATCCGATATCAGATTTTGAAAATGTAAAATGGCGGATCCAATATGGCGGACATTTTTAAAAATTCATCAAATTCACTTGAAACTTGTTACTCAGGGGTTTTCGGGGTCGCTGATTACAAATCTGCTATCAGATTTTGAAAATTCAAAATGGCGGATCCAATATGGCGGACGACATTTTTACAAACTCGTCCGTTTCATTTGAAACTTGTTACTCGGCAGTTTCCGGGGTCGCTGATAACGAATCTAGCATAAGATTTATAAAATACAATGTGGCGTTTCAAATATGGCTGGAGCCATTTTAAAAATTTTTTTAGATTTACTTAAAAGTTGTTACTTGGGATTTATTTATGTCGTAGATTAAAAATGTAATATCGGTTTTGAAAATGGCGGATCCAATATACAAAAAAAATATAAAAAAACAAAATAAATAAAGGAGTGTAAAATCCGATCGCATACCTTTACGTGGTAAATCTGGGGTCATAAGTAACGTAGTATACTTAACAGGTGACTGCGGGGGAAAATTTTGTATTTATTATCGTTTCAAAAGTTTTTCGTAATCAGCAAAAAACCCTCTAGTAACGAGTTTTAAATGAATCCGATAAATTTTAGAAAATTTCATTCTCCATATTGGATCCGCTATTTTAAATTTTCAAAATCTGAAATCGGATTTGTAATCAGCGACCCCGAAAACTCCCGAGTAAAAAGTTTTAAGTGAATTCGATGAATTTTAGAAAATTTCGTCCACTATATTGGATCCGACATTTTAAATTTTTAAAATCTGAAATCGGTTTCGAAATCAGGGACCCTGAAAACCCCCGAGTAAAAAGTTTCAAGTGAATCCGATGAATTTTAGAAAATGTTGTCCGCCATATTGGAACCACCATTTTGAATTTTCAAAATCTGATATCGGATTCGTAATCAGCGACCCCGAAAACCCCTGAGTAACAAGTTTCAAGTGAATTCAGTCTATTTTTAATTTTCATGTCCGCCATATTGTATCCGCCATTTTGAATTTTCAAAATATAATATCGGATTCGTAATCAGCGACTCCGAAAATCCCTGAGTAACAAGTTTTAAGTGAATTCAGTCGATTTTTAATTTTCATGTCCTCCATTTTGAATTTTCAAAATCTGATATCGGATTCGTAATCAGCGACTTCAAATACAATAGTATGCTCGTTTGCGCAAATTTTAGTTTTTTAAAAAGTTGTCGACATTTTGAGCCCACTTAGGAGATTTTGGTCTTGACTGCGAAAGGGTTAAGGATAAAAAGCTCATGAAGGTCTCTTTTTAAAGCTTATTTTCTAAGCTTTAACACTATATAAAACAAAAATTTTAAAAATTAATTTGTTAATGTTTAAAAAATGTTATTGCAACCTAAAATTTTTCAATTTTTTTTTGTTTTTTTAAAGCGATACAGTTTTTTTTAGAAAATTATCGCATGTAAATCACACATATATCATTTTAAAGCTAGTTTTATCACTTTTAAAACGCATTTTTAAAAATTTTTTTACGATAATTTTTAAGAATAATATGATCACTTGTTTAAATAATTAGCCATTTTTTTTAATTGTTGATAACTCAAAAACGGTTCGTT